TGGTCACATGAAGAACTAGTGGTGAAAGGCAGGTCACAGCAGGATAGGACTGGTAACATTGGGTCAATGACTGGACCAGTACAGAAGAAAAATAGCACTGTATACAGTACACTTAGTGACTCTGATGCAATGATGATTATGGTTTCATAAAGCACCTGGTCGTTTTCTGTGTTATTATCTAGAATAAACCTCTACATTGAGGTGGCCATAGCACTAGCAAAGCTGGCACTGTTGAGACAGCATCTGTTAGTTCTTTTTTACAATTTGTCTTGTAACTGGACAAATTAATAAGAAATTCAATGAGCTACTCATTTCAGCTCTTTGTCTGCCTGGCATCTGTTGACCATTGCCAGAAATGTAGTCGCTAAACCTCACATCCCTCCCGTAATGTCCAGTAAGATACAGTACAATTTGTGCCCAGTGGGTTATAATAAAGGAACAATTCTACACTAAAACCCCACAGAAACAGGCATCCAAATGATGGTTATTCAATCATGATTCCAGGGGCTTCCAGGTAGTTTTTAAGATATAATTTGTATAATTTATATTCATGCTATTATAAATTAAAGATGTACTAAGTTCATTTTCACTTTCAGAAAAAGAGAGAAAGTTGGAGCAGTGTTTAGATTCATAAACTTGAAGAGGCCACCATTACCACAATAATAAGTCAAAGATCATTGCATATGTTTATTTTGTAAAAATAAATGTACAATGATCAGGGTCCAATTTCCCTAACTATCCATAAAATCGTCATGTCCATGCGTGGTGCAGGAAGTTAATTTTTCCCAATGGGTTAATAATTCAAAGATGAAAATTAAATGTTTAATTCTCATTCTTATTAGCCTCAGTAACATGGTTGCATTTAGGACAATGATATTGCAGTAGAATGCTATGAGTACGACAGTCTTGCTGGTCAGCTGTGTTGCTGTCACTGGCCACTGGGTCAGAAATGAATATTGCTGAAATACAACATTGTCTCTGAACAGACTCGCCATCTTAAAAACTTACTGTGACAATAGAGTGAAGGATAGAAAACATAAAATCCTATAATCTATGGCAAACCGTCGCAGAGCAGAGTAAATGCATGGTGTAAGTATTGTAAAATTATTCGAAATTGAAAATATATTTTACTAGTTTACTATGGTAAGTATGATAAGATTACAGAGCCATGTTGTGCTGGAATCTTCAACAGTGTTGATGAGGGAAACTTCACAATTGTACTATTATTTTTGCTACTTGTTCGTCTATCAATGTGAGTCTCTATGTTCAGATCAACATTGCATATGAAGGTTTGTTTTACAAGAAAATTATTTTGCTGATGCCCCAAGAATCAACTGAAACATAATGAGGATAATAGCCAATATAATGTTAAACTTTAAAGAATTCATGTTTTTTAGGGCTTTTATAAAATCGAAACAGCAAAAAGTTCAGGATGTTCGTGAGACAGACACAAAACGAGTCGCTGATGTATTGAAGGGCTGATCTGGTCAGACATACAGCAATTAACTGGCAGCTTGCAGGACTCTCACACAGATTTGATGTATTCTCATTTTATGGTACATTGTCTATTTCAAATATTTTTCTGCTTTATGAAGATGCTGTTTCTGATTGCAAATATTGAACACAGGATATTAGATGAAACATTTCAGTTTTCATACAGTGTCCTAAGGATTTTAATTCTGGTCATACTGAAGACTATTTTCAGGGTTTTTGCTTGGGCACCAAGTTCAATATATCAGGTTCATTTTAACCTTTTAGGGTCAACATGAAATCTGATACAGACCTGAAAACAATTCAGAGGTTTAGCTACACAAAGATTTTACCACTCCATTTAGAAGAGGGTGACTCTGGTTCAAATGGAAAGTTCAATCTCCCCTCCTTTACTACGAAATTCCGGAAGTGTGGTTTAATTCAATAAAAGAAAACAATTCAGTTGAGTATAATCTTCTATTGAGGTTAGTAGCTAAGCCAAAATTCCAATACAAGACCTGACAATGGGCCCCACAAACACAGAACCTAAACTACATTTTTTTTAAACTTATCTTACATAGGAGGTACTTCCAACAATAGCAATTGTAAAATACTTTGGTTTGGTCAGTATGTGTTGATAAAAAACTGCATAGGGTTATGTGTTTCACTGATCTGAACTGTTTGATCAAGGAAAGTGAATGCAGATCAGGATGATGTACTGTATTAATTATCAGTAGTTAAAAAGAAAACTACCTAGTGCACAAAAGACGTGTATATTGTGACAATACATCCTGGTAGTAAAGCTGCAATATCAGTTTACAATTTCTTTCCATATTAAAGAAAATACCTTCCCCATCTTAAAGTGCCAGGGATCCGTGGGAATAGGCAGTGAACCCAATCATGGTGAAAAGAAATTGTGTGAGAGAAACACAAAACATTACTTCTAGTTTTCATTTCTTGCATGTGAATTTAGGATTTTTCTTATGAGTGTACTATTCTAAGAAATGTTCATTATCATCATCACTCAGAGATCATTAATATGTAATTATTACTACACACCAGATTGTTCCCCACTCAACATACTTCTAAGGTGCATAACATTTTTAATTGATGAATTGTGCATTTCCAGGCCTTTATCAGTCATAAAGAACTTCTTGAAAAACATAGAACTAAAAAGTATTTGTTCAAAAAATATGTTGAGTTATACAGTAGTTTATTATTTATTATTTCTTTATAATCCATATTGATATACCATGATCCACCTTTAGTTTGTATTACATCCATCACAACAAGTTGCCACAGTGTGCTTCACACAGACAAAGTAAAACATGTAAATTAAAGCAGAACCGTGTAACAAAGAAAGATACTGCAGTGTTTAAACAAGGAGCTGGAGCATTGCATTGTGTTTCTACACCTGTGTTTCTTATACTGCACATCACCTGGCGAACTGGGATGTGTGACAGAACAGACAAAGTCTATATGTTTCTTGAGATTTGGGATGGAAGGTATTAAAGTTTTGCGAGGGTACAAACAAGAATGGCGAGCACTAAAAGAACTTGCTGCTTTCAGAAGTATACACCTGTTCTCAGGTGAACTGGAACTGAAAGCATTGTTATGGCTGCTTACAAAGTATGAATGCAATGTATGAGTATGGAAGAATCTGATCTGTTTTTAATTCAAATGCATTTTGTTTTGGGATGTCTTTTCAAACTGCTTCTTATTAAGCTGCTCCAACTATGTCCAAAATATTTCAACTTAATGCTACACACTACCTCAGGTTTTTACGGTCTCTTTGCGTTCTGCCAGACATCATGAGTCAACACTCTCCTTTGCAGTAGTTCATAGAGTAAAGAACAGGTGAAAATGAAAACAGCCTCCATCTGTCACATCAGGTTGATTCTGCAGTCTCAGCAGCAGCTCCGGCACAAGGAACCTTTAACTTCACTTGGTGTTTTCCACATTCCGGGAAATCTCTTTCTAGAATTTGTAGGAAATGAAGCAAATGAACCAGTACGAGTGATTTTCTTTTTTACAATGCATTTGAACAGGTGATAACAATATATAGTCTGCCTTATAGAAAATTGACTGATAATGTCATCGGTATATTTGTGCTATTTGGTTTAAATGTAAACTCCTTAAAGACTTCCTTGTAAAGGCTTCCAAGCTTCACCCATGGATGTATCGGACTGTCCATGGAGGTACAGCAGCTTTTGTAATTTCTCATGAGTCTGTCCACTTTGCTTTTCATCCATACCTTTCTCCTCTCGCTTAATAATCAGTGACACATATGCATCTTGTCCTTTCTGGAGAGTTTGTCTTTGACTGAAAGGAAGGCAGTGCAGAACTGCAAGTAGCTACAGTACAGCCAACAAAATCTCATCCAGAAACTGTAAGAGTTTTTTCCAGAGAAAGTAGAAACCCAAACCACTGAGAATGATAACAGCGTGATTAGTGACTAAATTAGGGAGCTAGTTCGAGTGAAGGATACATTATAATAATTGCATGTAAATTCGTCAGCACTTAATTTGGATTTGGAGCCTCTTAATAAGAACGCCTTATCAAACGTGTCATTTGAAAATTGGTGTTTTCCTTATGTGACAGGCGTACGTGATGTTATTACAGAATGGAAACTGAAGCTGAAATCTGTGTTGCTTTGCGAAAGATACAAGAATTGCATACTGTGAAGTTATATGTATATTTCATCTGTTGATATCTATTTATACATATTTATATAGTTTTTGTTTTCCAGTATGCATTCTAGAGATTAAAAATGGGATTGCTGTTAACTGAAGTGAAAAGCACTGTTCATTGAACTATGTATACCTACAAATACTTTTTTTGAAAGGAATATGTATTGCTCTAAACACTGTATAATCTCATAATGTTTAACATATCTTGGACTGTGAAAATATGTACTTTATCTATTTCTAAAATAAGGTTCTTATTTTCTTTTTGTAAATGGAGTGAAAGTCCTATCGATGACTGACTGAAGAGACATGTTTCTGAGGGAGAACACTATTTTTGACTGCTTTGCTATTGATCTAAGGACACCTATATATTAAATAATATATATTATTTTTTTCTGTAACCAAATCTGAACTCTGGGAAAAAGCAATAAGGGAGCTGTACAGGGCAGTGCTGTCTGAGTGTGTGTATCTGAAGTGCTGGGTGTAAAACATTCACATCTAGGAAGCAAAAACTGGTTTGGAGATAAGCACACATACTGGA